GTGTTTTAGCTTCTCCGCCTAGAACACGCACACCTGTCCGTCAGTAAAATTTATGAGCTGTTTATGCAAGATCATGGAAGAAATCGTTGACGCCAGCCGGCAATTGAGGTGTAAACACACAGCAATATATATATACATATACATACACACACACACACACACACACACACACACACACACACACACACACACACACACACACACACACACATATATATATATATATATATATATATATATATATATATATATATATATATATATATATATATATATATATATATATATTTATATATATATGCGAAAATGCTCCAAACGGGTGTGAGTGCACGTTGAAGAAGCCCAAGCAAGTGGTCTTGGGACGTTAGTAATAATTATTATACATGACTACATTTTACACATGGCAGTTATTTTTGTTATTACTCATGACAGGCCCACGCACGCTGGCCAGCTAATGAAGCTTTGCTGGCTCAAACTGTATGTTGCCTACCTCTATATCAATCTAAAAAGTAGATTGATTCACCCTCACTCTCAAATTTCAGTTGGCCCTTCCCAACCTTATTCATTTTATACGGAGCCGTATACATCATTGTTAGAAAAGTTGCATGCCTTTCGCATTATACACACAATTTCGTCACCAAAATTGCTGGAGAACTTACCAAAAAAATCTTTCACATCAACGTTTTATGTTGCGGTCTCGAAATTGAGTGATTATCCTTCTAACAACGCAGTGACGTAGTCTTACGCTTTAGTCTACGTATGTCTTGAAGGCATAAATGCTAGCATGTTCACTGGAATGGAGAGAAAATTGTAGGCATTATGCTAAAAAAACAAAACATAGTATATGTAAATGTTCGTCGTGCCTCCAAAATGAACACAAGAAAACAAAAGAAAAATGCCGAGAAATTGCTTGCTGAGGATACCGATGAACGTGGACTGCGAGCCTGAACACTTCGATGATAATAATCGAGAAACAACAACTTACCAAAAACGTTTTCTTGACGGTTGGAACAAGTCATTGTAGACTTTAGTTTCGAAAGTTTCCCAAGAAATTAATTTCTAAAAGCTTTAATAATGACCACGAAACCATGCTTCCACATGTGCCCTGGCGGTGGCCGCACTGTCACCTAATTAAGGCTTCAATCTGGTGTGCCCGATGTATTTACACGGACACACTAATGAAAGAGAGTACGTTACATAGTTCGTCTTCAGGGATTGCCTGCCTTTCACGCATTAAGCCTGCTAGGGCATATCTCATCGCCGCGAGCGCGCTTCATATGCGCGTTCACGGTACGTGCATATACTGTAAAGAAGTAGCAGCTGTGAACGGTTCTGTGTTTTATTTTTGCCCACGATTGTTATTTTGACTGTAAAAGTAGCCCTTTGTTCGAAAGCATTCACAGACCAGAGCGGGGCTCCTTCCACGTGGCGTTTTCGTGGACCACCGACAGTCAAACATGTGGAGCGCCGACTAATACGCTAGAAAGGCGCACCCAGTAGAGGGGTCTTCCATGATTTCTCGCCCCCCCAATATATGTTTAGAAGTGTCCCGCGAGCAGCCTCGAGCTCTTTAGTAAATGCCGAGGCACGTAATCACCCTCCCCCGTTTCCAGTTGTGAGGGCACTTGAAGATTGTCGGGACGCCTTCTTCCTCTCGATGCAGCAGAAAAACTATAGATATTGAACTCATTAAAAACGCGACAACTTACGTCAATGAAAATGACTTGCATCAATACAGTGCTCACGCAGCTCGAAAATATGCCACAATAACAGGCAAATTTGATATCAAATTTTTTTAGCTTTCATTACAATTCGCAGCCCCGTAAGTTGAACTTGCAGTGGACAGAATAATCCGTAAACTACTTTTTTACGCTATCAATACTAAACAGCACTGCACTCGATATGACTTATATTTCCTGGTTCTACTCAAACCAACAAAGGGCTCTTTTCAAACACATTCCTCTACGGTCACTTGGATTTTTCAGGCTGCATATAAATGCACATTTTCGCTGCCTTGCCCGACATCAAGGGCAGAAGAACTAAGTGCACCATTTTGTGCTTTATGATATTTAAATTCTTTAGGAGAAGCAAGAAAATAAATTATCCTATATGATTCGCAGAACAGCTAACAAGCGCATGAGAAAAATGTGACAGAATTACGAAATTTCCCGGTAATCGGTAACTTCCGAATACGACGCCTCACATTCACTTCGAGTTATTGTGGAATAAACCAATACAACTAAATTTTCTCATTGTATTTTTTTACAGGGCAGCATGCTAAATCGTAATTGATTGATATGTGGGGTTCATTGTCCCAAAGAGCATCATATAGATATGAGAGACGCCTTAGTGGAAGGTTTCGGAAATTGAGACCACCTTTTGTTCTTTACCGTTCACCGAAATTTGAGCACACGGGCCTACAACAATTTTGACTCCATGGAAAACGCAGCCGCCACTGCTAAGATTCGATCCCGTGACCTGTGGGTCACGAACCGAGTATCTATCTTCGCCACTAGACCACCAAGGCTAGGCTGCTTGCTATATCATAATTAGGGTTCCATGTTTTCTCAGTCTATTTTTCGTGAAATTCAGTGTTTATGAATGTATTTCTCGAAAATCTACAACTATTCTAAATTTTATTGCGCTCGCATTTATATGGACAGTCTCGGCTGGTTTTATGCCATCACCGCCATCACCGCCGTCATTCACCGTAAGTGTATTCGTAACTATATATATAGGTATGGGATATGGCACAACGGGAGCGTTGTCAACAAGGATAAATAAATTTTTTTCCCAACAGTTTCGGGAGGGGTCCTCCCTTCATCAGGGGAGGATGAAGGGAGGACCCCTCCCGATACTGTTGGGAAATATATTATCCTTGTTGACAATGGTCCCGTTGTGCCATATCCCATACCTTCACGAAGACTAACTGGCCCATTGATTTATTACTCCCACTATATATATATATATATATATATATATATATATATATATATATATATATATATATATATATGTTATAAACTTCGAAAATAGTGCAGTATAGAAAACAAAACAATAAAATATTAATTTAATCCTAACAGTTTCGGCTGGTGGTCCAGCCTTCTTCGGAGGATGTAAGGGAAATGGTACAAGTTCCCGCAGCAGAGGGTCACCCTCACAGTTTGAAGACCCTCGAAAACAATAAAAAAAAGAGACAAACGGGCGAACGGGGTAGCAACAGACAAGAAGCAGAAGAAGGAGAGGAACTAGAAAGGAGCGACGGAGAGCCGCCGGAAACGAGCGGGTAATTCTGCCATTGTTACTGCGTATAGGTAAGACGCGTCGCCAGCGGAGGCGACCAAGAAAAACGGAACAATGTGAAAAATGTTTCCGCTTACTCGCATCCCACACATAGATCGAGTTTAAGTTCACGTGGTTCGGCGGCTGGCCCGCGGCATCGGGCCCCCCCCCCCCCCCCCCCCCCACACACACACACCAGAAGCATACGACCCGCTCCAGCTTTCGGAAAATAATGGCCACGTTGGAAAGCTAATGTGCCGTCTCCCCCTCCCTCCACCCACCCTCTTTTGCAGAAAACTGTACAACCAGTCATACTGAAAATAAATGAATGGGTATCCTTGTAAAAGATGAACAAACAAAAATAAATAATACGAAAAAGTACTCAGAAATGAAAATAAAGTCTAATAATACTAACACACACCGTTTGGTTGACGTAGCATCGAATTTGTTTAGTTTCACGCGCTATATTGACCAACTTACGTGTGCGACTTCACGTATGTATAAATAAATTAGTTGAGTAATTCAATTTCTGTGTTTCACGAAACGTCGCGGAGGCACGTCAGTCGCCCAGGGCTCTCGTTGATTCCGTGGGTAAGTGATCTGAATTTCTTTATGAAGTATGACTCCCGCTGTTCGCGCTCCCGTGTGTTCTGGAAGCCGGATTGTAGGAGTATGACACTTACGCAATTTGTCAAAATGGTTGATTGGGCGAGTTGGTGATACATGACTAATTATGAAATGGAAGCGCACAACGTAGAAGCAGACGGAAAGACAGGGACAAGCGCTAACTACCAACTGAAAGTTTATTCGGAAAAAATATGAAATATATACTAAAAGATGATACAGTGTCAAGGCACATACGATAACACCAAAGCATAGACCAAAAATGGCAACACCGATAGAATATCTTAGTGCGTCAGCCCTACCTTACCAATGTTCGTAGCGGCAATGATGGTTATCTTGCCCAGCATGTCACTAGATGTGGCTGTGAAGTACAATTTGATAAGACAGTAGTTCTCCAAAAGCACAAAGATGAGCGCACAAGGCTTATAATTGAAGCAGCACACATAGCGGAACACGGGGCTTGCGTCAGCAAACCATCAATCGCTTTGTCCGATAAGGAGCTAGCGTTTTTAAACATTAGCAGATGCCGTAGAAGTTAACTAATCAATGTAAAGCACAGTAAGCGATGGTAAGGTAGGGCTGACGCACTAAGATATTCTATCGGTGTTGCCATTTTTGGTCTATGCTTTGGTGTTATCGTATGTGCCTTGACACTGTATCATCTTTTAGTATATATTTCATATTTTTTCCGAATAAACTTTCAGTTGGTAGTTAGCGCTTGTCCCTGTCTTTCCGTCTGCTTCTACGTTGTGCGCTTCCATTTCATAATTAGACACTTACGCGTTCGAAAGAGTGACCAGGAAGATTGATATGTTTGGAGAACGGCAAATCGGGGAGGCCCTTTACGTGTGCCCTGTGGTTGTTGAAACGCAAACGGAACGCGGTTTCCGTGTGTCCAATATATTCCTGTTTGCACACCTCACAGCGATACTACATTGGCTGATTCACAGTTAAGGTCGTCTTTAATTTTGTACACATAGTCTGAACAGGAGGCTTCGGCCGTTTTGACCATTTTGACCCCCGTCGACAACCATTTTGACCCCCGTCGAACAAACACGCCCGTTTTCGTGACTCAATCTGGACTGTTTATGCAGGAAGCACTCTCACTGCTGGACTTTATTCCACGCACAGTGACCACTCTGGTGTTACACGTGGGTACAAATGACATAGCCTCCTCCTCAGCCACTGTAGTGTTTCAAAAATACAAGGACATGGTGAGCCGAATCGTGGAGCAGCGGCCGGAGATTAAAAAGATCTTCACCACATTGGTGCTACCGAGGGCCCCAGACCGCAGGCGCGCGTGCCTCAACCGGCCCTTCGTCGGACGGTTCAACAGAGAAGCGGGCCACTTCAACCACCTCCTTCGATTGCACTGTCGTCGAAGCGGGACTCTCTTCTACATCGATCACGCCTTGGAATGGCTTCCGCCTGGCCGTGTTCTGGCGGCCGATGGTATACACCCAAGTTTTGAGGGTGTTGCCCTCATCGCCAGCCACCTGAGATCGCTGCTTCTGCGAAATAAGGTGAGGTCGCCGTCAACCTGGCTTGACCATGCACCATTAGGTCTGCCGGGCCCACCGAGAGAACATTGTCATTCCCGGAGTGAGAACCCCAGCATCCGCGAAACAAGCGGGATCCCGTGCCGACGATCATCACCACGAGCACCGAGGGGTGTTCCTCATAGATCAAGAAGCAAGAGCCCCTACAACACGACTCGGGGCCACCCAGAGGCTTCCGGTGACAGCGCTTCTCCCCCACGCAGGGACTGACTCAACAACCCGTCAGGTACGGCCCGCTCCAGCACATGTTGGTCTCGTGATTTCATGGCCTTAAGAAAGAATGTTGATAAGCGCGTGAGGTTTGAAATGCATGCTTCAGACCTTAAAACATATATTTCATCGGGATTCGCACCAAAGGGTCTCACTGTTCAACTGCAACCCGCAATGAATAACTTCAACAAAAATGAGCAGCGGCAGTGGAGCAATATCTTAAAAGATGCATTTATTAGGCTTACACAGGTCGTAATACAACACAGTACACGTAGGGCCACGGAACTTAAAAGAGGAAGAAAAGGCGCGACTAAAACAGTCAAGCTTGACGCAGTCAGAAACAGAAGAGCTGGCCAAATACGAAGGAAAAAAGAGATTGACAATTCAGGGCAAGAAGGACAAGAAATTGAGGCGAAACGGTGCGTGGCCGACTTTAAAATACTCCGCTAGCAATCCTCTCACAGCATATACAGATCGAACTGTTACCTCTCGTCAATCTCCACAAAAAAGCACTGATGTCACCAATGTGGTTAACCTTTCCAGCAAATCTTTGGCACCTGCGCAAACAAAGCTGCTATCAAAAGGTCTAACCCTTCTGCCCCCCCTCCGACAAAATTGATGACTTTAAACTTTACCAAGATTTGGACAACTTTGCCAGAACCATGCGTCTAAAAGAATATTTTCATGTTCGAAGCAGCACGCAACAAAATCAATTTTCAGATAAATCTTGGACTCCAGGTGAACAACGAGACAAATATCTAGACATGTACATTTCAGCCGTCCAAGTTGATATAATCAGAGAATATAAAAAGCACCGACCCATTCGCAACAATCTGTCCAAAGAGGAGCGGGAGGCTTTGCGCAGTTTAAGTGACAGCCAGAGCATCGTTATTAAACCAGCTGATAAGCGTGGTGCTGTGGTTGTACTCGACAGGACTGACTACATCGAAGAAGGGCTTCGCCAACTGGCAGATGAAAATTTCTATAAACAACTCCCTTGTGATCCGACAGAGGAGTATGAAAGTACTATTAAGGCCTCACTAATATCATTACGTAAAAGTGGTAAGATAACCTACCCTATGCTTAAAATGATGTCACCTGGCAAATCGTCTCCCGGGCGTTTCTATTTACTACCCAAAATTCACAAGACTAACAATCCCGGCCGACCCATAGTTTCCAGCAACGGTACTGCTACTGAAAAAAATCTCTAGTTTCATTGACTCTCTGATTAGGCACATCCCACAATCATTCCCATCATACATCAAAGATACCAGTCACTTCCTTCGAGAAGTCTCAAAACTTGTGGTACCTCTAGAGTGCTATTTGGTCACCATGGATGTCTCATCACTGTACACAAACATTCCCCACACCGAGGGAATCACCGCCACAGTCGCCGCCTATAGAAAAAGTAAATCGACGAGTGAATTCGACGAAAGCGCTTTAGAGGTGCTCCTAAATCTTGTACTTAAACACAATAACTTCGAATTCGACCAAAAACATTATCTGCAAGTAAACGGAACTGCCATGGGAACCAAAATGGCCCCAAATTACGCAAATATTTTCGTGGCCTCTTTGGAAATTCCTTTCCTCGAAAATTCTCCATTCAACCTTATATTTTACCGACGCTTCCTCGATGATATATTCTTCGTGTGGGCCGATAGTGAACATAATCTTTCCAAATTCATTTCCGGTTTCAACTCCCTGCATCCTTCGATAACATTCACACACACGTATTCGCAGAAAAGTGTTCACTTTCTGGATGTCACTGCATCACTCAGTGGCACCACCGTATCTACTTCTCTGTATAAAAAACCAACTGACCGCCAACAGTATCTGCATTTCCATAGCAGTCACCCCCATCACTGCAAAACAGGTGTTCCTTACTCTCAAGCCCACAGATAGAGAAGAATTTGCTCTGAAATCACGCAATTTGACACCCACGCACAGGAATTGAGAGCAGCCTTCTTGCGTCAAAAGTACCCCGAAAAAATAATTGACAATGCAATTGAGCGCGCTCGCTCTTTGGACCGAGAATCAACAATGGGAGAAAAAGGCGGGAATAAAGATGATATAACTTCAGGGGCAAATTTAATCCTCACATACTGCGCCGCCGCCCCTCGGGTGAATTCTATACTAACCCGCCACTTCAACATACTTAAACAGAGTAGTCGCCTCTCTGCCGTTTTTCAGACTCCGCCCAAGGTGGTTTACCGAAGAAATAAAAACCTGAGAGACTTACTGCTCAGGGCGAAAACACACAAATCCGACCACCATCAGGGCTGTAGACCGTGCGGGAAACCTCGCTGCAGGGTGTGCACACACATGGTGACCACAGATACGGCCGAAGCCTCCTGTTCAGACTATGTGTACAAAATTAAAGACGACCTTAACTGTGACTCAGCCAATGTAGTATACAAAATTCGCTGTGAGGTGTGCAAACAGGAATATATTGGACACACGGAAACCGCGTTCCGTTTGCGTTTCAACAACCACAGGGCACACGTAAAGGGCCTCCCCAATTTGCCGTTCTCCAAACATATCAATCTTCCTGGTCACTCTTTCGAACGCGTAAGTGTCATACTCCTACAATCCGACTTCCAGAACACACGGGAGCGCGAACAGCGGGAGTCATACTTCATAAAGAAATTCAGATCACTTACCCACGGAATCAACGAGAGCCCTGGGCGACTGACGTGCCTTCGCGACGTTTCGTGAAACACAGAAATTGAATTACTCAATTAATTTATTTATACATACGTGAAGTCGCACACGTAAGTTGGTCAATATAGCGCGTGAAACTAAACGAATTCGATGCTACGTCAACCAAACGGCGTGTGTTAGTATTATTAGACTTTGTTTTCATTTCTGAGTACTTTTTTAGTATTATTTATTTTTGTTTGTCCATCTTTTACAAGGATACCCATTCATTTATTTTCAGTATGACTGGTTGTACAGTTTTCTGCAAAAGAGGGCAGGTGGAGGGAGGGGGAGAGGGCACATTAGCTTTCCAACGTGGCCATTATTTTCCGAAAGCTGGAGCGGGTCGTATGCTTCTGGTGTGTGTGTCTGTGTGTGTGTGTGTGGGGGGCCCGATGCCGCGGGCCAGCCGCCGAACCACGTGAACTTAAACTCGATCCATGTGTGGGATGCGAGTAAGCGCAACATGTTTCACATTGTTCCGTTTTTCTGGGTCACCTCCGCTGGCGGCGCGTCTTACCTATACGCAGTAACAATGTCAGAATTACCCGCTCGTTTCCGGCGGCTCTCCGTCGCTCCTTTCTAGTTCCTCTCCTTCTTCTGCTTCTTGTCTGTTGCTACCCCGTTCGCCCGTTTGTCTCTTTTTTTTATTGTTTTGGAGGGTCTTCAAACTGTGAGGGTGACCCTCTGCTACGGGAACTTGTACCATTTCACTTACATCCTCCGAAGAAGGCTGGTCCACCAGCCGAAACTCTTAAGAATAAATAAACATTTTATTGTTTTGTTTCCTATACTGCACTATTTTAGAAGTTTATAACTTTTATTACGGTAGCCGGAAGAAACTCTGATCATCTATTTCATCTATATATATAGATGAAATCGATGATCAGAGTTTCTTCCGGCTACCGTAATAAAAGTTATAAACTTCGAAAATAGTGCAGTATAGAAAACAAAACAATAAAATGTTTATTTAATCCTAAGAGTTTCGGCTGGTAGACCAGCCTTCTTCGGAGGATCCTCCGAAGAAGGCTGGTCCACCAGCCGAAACTGTTAGGATTAAATAAATAGTTTATTGTTTTGTTTCCCATACTGCACTATTCTCGAAGTTTATAACTATATATACTTATATATATATATATATATATATATATATATATATATATATATATATATATATTATTTAGTTTACCCTAAAGATTCGTCTTTAGGAGTTGATCGCAATAGCAACAGGCTGTTCGTAGTGCACATTTCACACACTTAGTGTATGAAACTTTTTAGAGTTTTCTATTCCACCACGGCGTGGCCTTAAAGAAATAGTCGCAGTACGCAGTAGCATGTGCACCTTTTGTAGTGGGGTCCCGGCTTTAGATCACGGAGCCATGCTGATAATCGCATATTCTGACGCCCGTTGGCAATGGACGCTTGACCACGCACTTTTAATACAATATTTCATGTTGCATTGTGAAACATACCGGGCGCCTGTGTTTGTGAAGCATTAACGCTGCTTTCACTGCGTTTCCAAGCATATGAAGTTATTTTCATTGATTTCTTAATCAGAGGCGTGGCCGTGTGGTAGACCATGTGCTCGCCACGCAAACGACCCGTGTTACATCCCCACTCCACTCCTTGGTTTTTTATCACTTATTTTATTGTTGTCAATTTTGCGAGCACGCATGAGATGATTTTATTAATCACAACCAATGATGCCTATGCCGACGTAGCCGCCACCACCGCCACCACCGACACCAACACGGGAAATTCATCGAAACAATTAGGCCCTTTATTGCTATTGCGTTAAAAAAGCCACCCACGCTCGGCGCCCAGCTCCTCACGATGTGCCGACGCGCGCTTATTTCCCACGAGTACTTTGCCCTGCGAATGAGGGGAGGGGGGGTAAGTAGATGCTTGTGGGCACCGACGGCTTATGCCTTGGAGGGGTAAATCGTGTGCCTTCAGATTTCACCAGAATGATTGCGTTATTTGCCGGGACCAAAAAGGGTAACTTCGCTCGCTGCAAAGGGCCGGTTTTTCAAAAAGAGTGGGCTTTTCATACAAAGCGAAGTATATCAACAAGGACACTTGTTATTTTACACTCATCTGTACTTGTGTAAACGTTTCGTGCACCGTTTTTGTTAAGTGTCGAGCGGTGAATGTTGTTTGTTCGCTTTCGTATTGTGTATGTTGTTTTCATGCGCCATTTGTGCGTGAGAAGCGCGCTGCACGTTGCGATCTGCTAGCCATTCTCAGCGTTACATTTCAAGTTGTTCCTATCACATTCATTGCTTCGCCATTGCGGCGAAACT